AAGTCAGGAAGTTGTGTATGTATGTGTGTATAGTTTGTGTATGTGTGTGTGTATAGTTTTGCACTGTCTTGGCATTCATTGTGGACAGCAAAGTAAGAATTTCATTGCTCAGGGAAACTTGTTTTCCTCACTGGGCATATGACAATAAACGCTTTGAATCCTTGAATCACAGTATGTTAAGGGGCGTAACATTTCCGTCACACGCTTGAGGTATTCAGCCAATCACAACGCACTGGATAGCTGGCCAATCAGAGCACACCTCGCTTTTCAGACCGATGAGCTTTGTAAAAATCGACGCGTTTCAGAAAGGCAGGGCATAGAGGAGAAACAATAATGTACAATACGTGGAAAATAATGCATTTTTTGAACCTTAAACTGCATAAACACATTGCATTTCACCAAATGCACAACAATGTTCTTTTTAGCAACGTCATATGACCCCTTTAAATATAAAACTAAAAACTGCCAGTAGGTGGCAGCAAGTCACTTGCTGCATCCCAATTCTTATCTGTCCTAAATAGTACTAGAAATTAGAATTAGTGTGTCCCAAAATGTAGTATGTTGAAATGAGTATCCCAAACGTACCTGGATGTATTACTATTTCTGATGGGAATTCGAAGTCCAGATCCCTGCAAACTCTAATGGCAAATATTGCCCACAACACATTGCATGTTGGACAAGGATTCAATTAGAACCACAAACACAAACAGAAAGTGTTAAAAAACTACCAACATGGTGGATATTCCAGACCAATGGTCAAGCAGATAAATGGGATTGAGTGATTCATAATCAATTTCTAACCTAATGAAAAACTGTTTATTTAACATTATATTTAATCTGCAACAACATTGTAAACTTATATAAAGATACGTTTGGTCAACAACTTTTAAAAGCATCATTATGTAAACACCTGAGGAGAATTCTTGGGATGAAAGACACGACTGGCAGATCAACGTGCAACTTTATTTCTCTCCAATACGGCAGGAAATGAAATTAAATGAAATGTGGATGATGTTAACTGTGACAAGATGATTGACAGCGCAGTTTAAACGGTGACAGGATGCATGCAAAACAACAGAGTAAGACACTGTTAAGATGAAGTAGCATGTCCCGAAGCTTGCCTACAATTCTGTTAAACACTCAAAAGTATGCAATTTTTTTTCACAAAAAGAGTACATCCTTTAAGAGCATAGTTCAAGTCAGCAAACTGGGACACAGCAAGTGTCTTAATGAGTGAGCTGAGAGAGTCATTTGTTTCACAGATTCATTCAAATGGCTGATTCGTTCAGGAACAAAGCAAGTGACTGCCTTAATAAATGGGTCACTGAACTGAAAGTGATTCAATCAAAATGTGGATTCATTCTGTAACAAATCAAAAGTGTGCAAAATGTCACATATATAAACAAGATGTAACAACATGAAGTTGCAGTAAATGGCTATATATTCTTTCAGATTTAAGACCTCATCTGAAAATTTCATGCCAACCAGGAAAAAAATGCATATTTAAGACATTTTAACCCTTTAAACCTTTTTAACCCCTTATTAGTAGATTCAAATTTCAGACTTCAAAGTCTTTTTAATAACCCACGGGAACCCTGCTGCATTTGAAACCTACACTTATTTCTGAGTTCCCAGCATTTTCAAGAACATTTCTGATTTTTTTTTCTCAAGACAAAAAGTATATTTTACAAATTAGGGGTTAAAGCAAAAAAAAATCCTGGGCCTGAACTTTTTTCCGGGGGCGGGGAGGGGATGGGGCAACACATGCAAAGCATGCAATGACTGTGGCAACTTTAACATTTGAAAGGATACTATGGCAAAGTTATTGCTTTCCTTATTCAAACAGGTTTTTTTTCATGAATATATGGTTGACCTGAAGAATGAAAGCTATATCATACACTTGGAAAATTATGAGCTATATCAATGCTTAACTACACTAGGGTTGTGACAACACACTTAGCTCACGAGATGAGACAAAATACAGATACTTGGTTCACTAGAACAAGACAATATTTTAATACTATTTTTAAGAAATTTTCAATGACAAAATATTTGTCTTTTAATTATAAAAAGTAAAACAATGCAGTTGTATTTTGAAATATTTTAACTAATCTAGGGCTGTAACTAATGATTATTTTGGTAATCAAGTAATCTACTGATTATTTCTCTTTGTTTATTTTGAATACGCGCCCTCCAGCGGCATTATGTATTATAACAAATACCTGCAGAGGGCGCCAGCGGCCTGGTGAGTGGTGACGTTTCACTTTACAGCGTGATTAAACGATGTTTAAATCCATTCAATTTTAATATTTGGCCACATGCAAACTCAGAAACTTTTATTTTGAAATCGCGATGTACAATAAATGGCATATTGTCTTTACTGGTAAATTACCGGTAAGTTACCATTAAGAGATCATGTGTGAACAGGACCTTTTCAAAAATCCCGGTAAATTTGTCCTGGCAATCATATCGTTCTTATGGAGATGACATGATTACTCTGAGCTGTTTACAAAGCTCCGCTGCTTTTTAATTAGTTTTTCTATGTAAATGCGCTAGATGGACATCTTTGACCATTGCGCCTCGCAGCTTTTTCAACGTGTCGCGCTTCTCCATTCATCAGGGCTGCGACTCTGCAGTTGGATATTATGCGCTTCTCGTGTTTATAAGAGCAAAAAATTCTGATTGGCTAGTAATGTTAGTTTGGTTGAGAGTGAAAGCTGTGCTCCTCTCATACCATTGGTAAGCGAACTCATGGACTCGAAAGTGATATCAACAAGTTATTTTTAAATGTAGGATTATTTTTTTCCGCAGCCAAACACTGCACGCCGGAGATCCGGCACGGTGACGGAGAACTTTAAGCCCTGACAAATATTATGTCTATGAATTATTCATTGATTTCTGAATTAACAAAAATGTATTATTAATTCAGAAATATCTGTTTTGGGGAGTTGCACAACATGACATTATACCTTATCTAGTCATAAAAAGGTTAAATTATCTGATATTTAAAAGACTAAATTAACAAATTAACAGATCATAAAAAACAGGACTGAAAAAGATTGCGGTGAGTGTAGCCTTACAGATAACCTCCTCTCTCATAGTTGTCTATCAAAGACATTGAAAGTCCTTGCAAGATCATCCAGACTAAAAAAACATCCCGTTATTTGAAGCAGCATAAGCCATGGGTGACGATCTGATTTGAAACACCTCTTCTGAGGGGGTAGAGAAGAAATCCAGTAATCAGTAAAGTGTTCTCTACAATTCAGCATGAAGGGAGAGTGTTCTTCCCTGCCTTTGCCAAATGCTACTTATTAGTCTTGTTGGTTCATAAAGGCTAAGGGGGGGACGAGCAGCCTTTGATTTACTCTGTGCGTGAAATGGGTGTGAAATTACCGGTGTGGTGTGTGTCTAAGAGGAAAACAAGCATATTTGAACCTGACCTTGGAAGAGAAGCTGAAGGGTCGAAATGAACACAGCTGTGTGTTTAGGGAGAAAAGAACATTGCTAACCTGTGTGAAAATTTGTATGGACAACAGACAGGTGCGCACATAACCAGCGGTAAATATAGAGCTGATACAGCAAACACAAATAAGACAAGTGCCATGCATAACTGCAACCTGTAAACCTCTAGAAAATGACCAGCATAAGGAAACAGAGCTGGGATTCGATAACCTTACTCAGAATCTGTTTAATTTAAAAAACACTGGAATCAAATCATTTTAACAACAGCAAACATTCAGTGCGACCAGTGTAGCTTGGTTCGCTAACTGAGGACTCTTCTGAACTGATGAATCTTAAACTCATCAGCCTTAAACAGATCACTCAGCCACTCACTGAATATTACAGAATGAACATCTGACTCACTCACTGAAAAAGAGTGAAGCAAGACTAATGAACTATATATAATAATAAAGCTATTAGCAATTATGTGGCCATTTATCAAAAATACCAGAAACTAGATGTATTAAGTGGAATCAGAATGAAATTTAAGATTCCCATCATGACAGAAATTGCTGTAATTACTGTAGATCTCAGCAGTGAAGGTAGTAATAGGAGGTCCACACAATTTTTCTTACAAACGCTGTGTTAGGGGATTTAGTTTCCTTTCATCTATTTTCTCATTAATCTCAAGCCCACTTGCTTGAGACTTTCTTGATATTTTCTTAGTGTATTCCAGCAGGACTGAGATGTTTTCCCTGGCCATCTTAACTGCAATAATGTATCGCCAAGCCCAGATCGATCGGTCCTGATTGATACAGCCATGGATTCCTTAGCAAGCAATTTCAGCAACGGCTCAGACAAGAGCTACTACACAAAGGCAAGGCAGAGAGGAGTTTACTGCAGTTTTTAAAAGGACACGCATTGGTCATTAGGACAGATGAATGATCCTATGGAAAAAACTCTACAGTACACAGAGGAGACACAAAAGACACACTTATTTTAAGACAATGCTGTATGTTTACTCATCTAGACGAGTTATTCATTCCATGCATCTTAGTTGATGTGAAACTAAATTCTACAATCAAAATATCAGCACAAATGTGCTGTAGGTGTTTCTTATCATGATCATCTCCTCTCAAATGTCTTTCCAGGCTCAGTATCACCTCAGCGACCACTAAATGTTAAAAGGGCCATTTCCTGGAGAACAGCAATTTTAATACAGCAGTGAATTATGTTGACATGCTACTCTGCAAAAGCACATTAAGGTTTGACTGTCCATGTTTACATATCAACATTTACATATTCAGACTTCGGGATCAAATGTGAAGAGGCTAGTTAATCATAACAGTGGTAATTTACGTATAGCAGTCTAAAAGGTACAGAAGCAAACATTTCATTCAATAAATTTAGTGCGATATTTCTGATGCAAGAAACCTTACAAACGTATTAACTACAAAAAAGCTACAAAAATTCAGAACATGGGTCACTTCATAAGCTCTGTTTGTGAAACTGAGAGTCTTGTGTGTGTGTTCAGCAGTGTTTTGCAAAGGACCACCTACCTGCAATACTAGCAAAGATTTCGCTGACACCAATGAGGATGTACTGAGGCACTTGCCACCATATGGGTAGATCGGCTGCATAGTAGGTAACTCCACCGAGAGACTGTGGGATGGGACCTCGTGTGTGGACAATGTCCAGCCTCTTTGTCTCTAAAATGCCTGAGAGGGGCAAGAAAGAAGGTAACAGATTAAAATGAATAAATACATTATGAGAGTTCAGAATCACACTGACAACATTTAAAATAAACAGAAGCATATCAAGACCTTTCGGTCAAAATCATAAAAAGACATCAGTGAAGAATTTCAGGTGCACTGTGCATTTTAATTTGCAATAGATTTTAGCCTATATATAATAGCAGGGAGATGAATTGCTCAAAGTATTTTGTCTTCTTTGTAAATTAACAGAAGTGTTAATTCTTCCTTGCTTTATTCCAAAATTTACTGATAGATCAATGGATGATACATATTTTGTGTTTTCAAATAGGAACAATTTTGTGCACATCGTGTGCTATAATTAAATTGTATTATATTACTTTGGTACTTTTAAAACTGAACTTCTACTTGACAAATGTACAGATTTGTAAGTTCACTTAAAGAACATTAAAGACCAAAGAAAGGTATAGAACAGGATAATGTTATATATACACACAAAAATGCTACCATTCAAGGATTGTGGTCACTTAATTTTATTATTTTTTTTTTTTAAAGAAATTAATTCTTTTGTTCAGAAATGCCACATTAAATTGATCAAAAGTGACAGTAAAGACATTTGCAATGTTACAAACTAACATTACATTTAAAAAATGCATTCTTTGAACTGTTCATCAAAAATCCTAAAAAGAGTCAAAAGTAACACAATTTCCACGAAAATATTAAGAAGCACAACATTGTTTTCAACACTGATAATAATAGGAAATGTTTCTTGATCAGCAAATCATCTGATTAGAATGATTTTTGAAAGATCATGTAGGCCTGGGTGATAAAACGGTATCGATATTTATCGACGGTACACCTTCTTCGATAACGATATAAAAAATTTTTGATATAGTGCGCAATATAGGCACGTGCTATGAGTGACGCAGACAGCACACACAAACACGAACACATGCTGAATTGAGTGCTG